CCCCGTCAAGCCCGTTGGGCCCTGTTCTTCACTCGCTTCAATTTCTCAGTCACCTATCGCCCCGGTGAAAAGAACGTAAAAGCAGATGCACTCTCCCGTCAGTTCCAACCTGAGACACCTTCTTCCGAGCCTGAACCCATTCTCCCTCCAGCCGTGGTTGTCAGCCCCATCCAATGGAACCTAGATGACCACATCGCCGAAGCCACGCAACTCGAACCTGCTCCGCCGGGAGGTCCAGAGGGACGGGTCTATGTCCCAACCCGTCTACGCCTGTCCCTCATGGACTCAGTACACACCTCTCCGGGCTCTGGACACCCAGGCAGCCAATCCACTCTCTCGCTCGTCCAACAGCGCTATTGGTGGCCGGGTATGGCCCAGGACGTCTCCCGGTTCGTCAGAGGATGCTCAGTCTGTGCCATGGCCAAGGTTCCCCGCCATCTCCCGGAAGGCAAGCTGGTCCCTCTCCCTATACCCACTCGACCTTGGTCCCATCTCGGAGTGGACTTCGTTACCGACCTGCCCGTGTCGAACAACCACACCTGCATTCTGGTAGTAGTGGACCGCTTCTCCAAGGCGTGCAAACTAATTCCCCTTCCGGGTTTGCCAACAGCCCTTGAAACAGCTGAGGCGTTGTTCCAATACATATTCCGTAACTTTGGGATCCCCGAGGACGTCGTCTCCGATCGAGGACCCCAATTCATCTCTCGAGTGTGGAGGGCATTCTTCAACCTTCTGGGAGTGACCGTCAGCCTCACTTCTGGATACCATCCCCAGTCAAACGGCCAGACTGAGCGGAAGATCCAGGAAATTGGGAGTTACCTGCGGTCATACTGCCACGACCACCAGGACTGCTGGAGCCATTACCTGCCCTGGGCCGAGTATGCACAGAACTCCCTCCGACAAACCACCACCGGACTCACCCCATTCCAGTGCATACTCGGCTACCAGCCTCCACTATTCCCCTGGTCAGGAGAACCATCTGACGTCCCAGCAGTCCACCATTGGTTCCAGACGAGCGAGAGAGTCTGGGACTCAGCTCATACTCACCTCCAGCGGGCTGTTCGGAGACACCAGAACCAGGCCAACCTTCGCCGTACCGACGCCCCTCACTACCTTCCTGGACAACTGGTCTGGCTCTCCACCCGGGACATCCGTCTCCGACAGCCCTGTCAGAAGCTGAGTCCCAGATATATCGGTCCTTTCGCGATTCAGAGGCAGATCAATCCCGTCACCTACCGGCTGGCACTCCCCGCTCACTACCGCATCGTACCCACCTTCCATGTCTCCTTGCTCAAGCCGTACACTAACCCTCTCACTCCTTCTTCCCCAGGGTCTGGTGCTGTGGAGGTGCCCCCTCCTCCTGCGGATCCCGAAAATGACAACATCTACCGAGTCCATGAAATCCTCGACTCCCGACGACGGGGCGGCCGCTTGGAATATCTCGTGGACTGGGAGGGATTCGGTGCTGAGGAGAGATGCTGGGTCAACCGGGAGGACATTCTGGACCCCTCATTACTCCAGGACTTTCACACCACCCATCCAGACCGTCCAGCGCCCCGGAGCCATGGTCGTCCCCGTCGTCGGTCCCGTCCGCCAGCTGGAGCTGGCCGTGGGGGGGGGGGTACTGTCACGGATCCATCTGCGTCAGCACCAGACACCTTCACTCCGCCCACTCATTCCAGCTCCCCAGCATTCTAATCACTGTCACCTGCCCGCTTCAATCACCGTCCCAATCATCCTCCCTTTATAAACTCACTCCTCACAGTCACTCACCGTCTGGTCTCGTCGACACATCGGCTACAGACTCCCGCTACTCTACTGCTTGCTTCAAGGAATACTTACCCGCTTACTTCAGCCCCGTCTGCTTCTCTTCCGCTCCTGGTCCCCGGTCTTCCTCTGGTCATCCGTCCGCTGCCTCAGCTCTCCATCTTCCAGCCCTGCTCAAGATAAGAAATACATTATCAGACTGTTTCCCGCTCCTTCACCGAACTTTATCATTGTATACTTACCGACTGTCTACCATATCACCTGTCTCAATAAACCTGGTCTTACACTCATCCATCTGTGTCCTTCTAGTCTGTGACACACACGCACTCTTTTTGCTACTGTAGAGAGACTGACAAACCCCCCAAGCCAGATTCCCATAGAAATGCTCTCAGACAGCAAGTGCAGTGAGTTTGCTTCTTTCTTCTCTGAGAAAATCAATAACATCAGAAAGGTGATCAGAACATCCTTGAGTTGCTCTGGGGTCAGGCAGATCAGACCACAACCTGAGAAAGTAGTTACTACGTCTGATTTCGAAGAAATTGATGACACAATTTTGGTAGAAACCGTACAGCACCTTAAAACATCAAAATGCACCCTTGACACACTTCCCACATCTTTTTTCAAAAGTGTGTTAAACTGTTTAGAAGCAGATCTCCTAGAAGTGGTAAATGCCTCATTTCGCTCTGGGAGTTTTCCGAACTCCCTGAAAACTGCAGTTGTCAAGCCCCTCCTGAAAAAGAGCAATCTGGATAAGACCATCTTGAGCAATTATAGACCGATCTCAAATCTTCCTTTCATAGGCAAGATCATTGAAAAGGTTGTCTTCAATCAGCTGAACAAATTCTTAAGATCAAATGGATACTTTGACAATTTTCAATCTGGTTTCCGATCGCATCACAGCACGGAGACAGCGCTCATAAAGATAATAAACGATATTCGCTTAAATACTGATACAGGCAAATTATCCGTGTTGGTACTACTCGACCTCAGTGCTGCATTTGACACTGTCGATCACAACATACTTCTTGACAGGCTGGAAAACTGGGTGGGGCTTTCTGGGATAGTCCTAAAATGGTTCAGGTCATACTTAGAAGGGAGAGGTTATTATGTGAGTATAGGGGACCATAAGTCTGAGTGGACATCCATGAACTGCGGAGTCCCTCAGGACTTGATTCTTGCGCCACTCCTATTCAACCTGTATATGCTCCCAATGAGCCAAATATTGAGAAAGAACCAAATCGCTTACCACAGCTACGCAGACGACACACAGCTCTACTTAGCCCTATCACCAAACGACTACAGCCCCATTGACTCCCTGTGCCAATGCTTTGATGAAGTAAATAGTTGGATGTGTCAAAACCTACTGCAGTTAAACAAGGACAAAACTGAAGTTATTGTGTTTGGAAACAAAGATGAAGTTCTCAAGGTGAATGCATACCTCGACACTAGGGGTCTAACAACTAAAAATCAAGTCAGGAATCTTGGTGTGTCTCTAAAGTCAGACCTTAGTTTCAGTAGTCATGTCAAAGCAATAACTAAATCAGCATACTATCACCTGAAAAATATTTCAAGAATTAGATGCTTTGTTTCCAGTCAAGACTTCATCACCAGCAGGGTGGATTACTGTAATGGCCTCCTCACTGGCCTTCCTAAAAAGACCATAAGACAGTTGCAGCTCATACAGAACGCTGCTGCCAGGATTCTGAGCAGGACCAGAAAATATGAACACATCACACCAGTCCTCAGGTCTTTACACTGGCTCCCAGTTAAATTTAGGATTGATTTTAAAGTATTATTACTGGTATGTATAAATCATTCAATGGGTTAGGACCTCAATATATTGCAGATATGCTAACTGAATATAAACCCAACAGATCGCTCAGATCATTAGGATCACATCAGCTAGAAATACCAAGGGTTCACTCTAAGCATGGAGAGTCTGCTTTTAGCTATTATGCTGGAACCAGCTTCCAGAAGAGATCAGGTGTGCTCCTACAGTAGTCACATTCAAATCCAGACTCAAAACACATCTGTTTAGCTGTGCATTTACTGAATGAGCACTGTGCCTCTGTACATCTGACTGTTTTTACTGTACTGCTTTAATACTGCTTTAATACTGCTCTGACTGGAAGAGTCAGATGGAGAGCGGGAGAGTCTTCACACCGATGAGGCGAGTGAAGAAGTAAATTACTTATACTGCTGATAGTATAAGAAGTCGCTGAGAGCGTCATTAAGGGTAATGGCAGCAGAAACGTGCTCTGTGGGGGCCCTGCTGGGCATTACTGGTGTAGCACCACCCCAGCAGGGTACGTCCCTGGGCTGGGGGTCCAGTTGCACCGTAAACCAGCTCAATCTCTTCCATCTCATATAAGGGTATACTGGAAGAGATTTTGATGGAGAGCGGGAGAGTCTTCACTCCGATGAGGCGAGTGAAGAAGTAAGTTACTTATACTGCTAAGAGTATAAGAAGTCGCTGAGAGCGTCGTTAAGGGGAGAGCGTCGTTAAAGTGCTCTGTGGGGGCCCCGCTGGGCATTACTGGTGTAGCACCACCCCAGCAGAGTACGTACGACGCTCTACGTCCCTGGGCTAGAGGTCCAGTTGCACCGTAAACCAACTCAATCTTTTCCACCTCAGATAGGGGTATACTGGAAGAGATTTTGATGGAGAGCGGGAGAGTCTTCACTCCGATGAGGCGAGTGAAGAAGTAAGTTACTGCTGAGAATATAAGAAGTCCCTGGGCTGGAGGCCCAGTAGCACCGTAAACCAGCTCAATCTCTTCCATCTCAGATAGGGGTATTACTTTATTTTATTTTTACTCTTAACTGTTTTTATTTATATTGATTGCATTTACTGAATGAGCACTGTGCCACTGTTCGTCCGACTGTACTATACATTTTATTTTCGACACTGTATTTTATTTTTATTATTATGATTTTTTTTATTCTAAACTGTTTTAATTATTCTGACGTCTTTTGATTATTTTAATTTCTTCCATGTTAAGCACTTTGAATTGCCACTGTGTATGAAATGTGCTATATAAATAAACTTGCCTTGCCTTGCCTAAATATAATTGATTATATACATACATTATAAATGCATATATTTGAAAAGAAATTATTCACAAATATCATAAAAACAGTTCCGTAGATCATTAATCAGGTCAGATAGGTGGAGGGTTTAAACACTCATATTATTTGTTAATCCATTAATTTATAATGTTTAAGAACTGTTATAATGTTTTAGCAGTGATGCTTGTTCTCAGTGTTACTTACACAGCGTGTCTAGTTGCTGTAACCACAGGCATCAGCTTCTGAAGAACTTCATCTGCAGTGTTTTGTAGGACACTAATTGAACACAAAAAATAAACAAGTTAATTAATAATGCTAACAATAATAACAATAATTCATGTCATAATGCTAGAAAAAATATAGTCACATTAGCTGGGGAAGCAGCATACACACACACACCTCATTCATCCTCGTTTCGTTTGTTCACACACACACACACACACTTCATTCATCCTCGTCTCTTTCACGCACGCACACACACACACGAGATGCTGATCGCACATGGACATTCACTCGTTACTCCACCCTCCCTACAGATCCATTTCCTGGTCATTTCATGCACTTACACTGCACTGTCTCGTTGTCTCATCCCTGTGTGTGTGTGTGTGTGTGGTCACTCTTCCAGAGGAAAGTAGAGCTGAACGCCTCCAGGAACGCCATCAAGGACATTCACTGTTTTCTCAAGTTTACTTTGGCCGTCCACTTTTGACGTCCACTTGCTGTCACTATTAAAACTTCATTTTGGAAAAATACTTTCTATTAACTTGCTGTTTTATTACTGCAATCCAGTGAATGACAGCCGTCTGTGTCTCCCAGTGTCTTCCATTATTGTCAGTTTAGTGTTCAGTGACTCATTTACACACAAACAGAAGATAACATGTATGCCTTCATCTCCGAACACATTATCTGTGTCTTACATTTCATAATGAACTCAGATAAACTCAGTGCCGACTCGTTTTCCAGCAGTTCTTCTACATGAACTGGAATGTGTGCAAAGGATTGTGGGAGATTGAAGAACACAAAGGACACACTTGATGCATCCTTCAAAATGATCTGAATTAAAGACACAAAATGAAGTCTGTCTTCAAAAGATCCTACAAACTGAGACGGCCTTCAGAGGCACTTGATGACGTGGCAGTCGAGATATGCAGCCTTACTAGGACACAGCCACGGTTTGAGAAACACCCGCAAATTATGGACAATATCCCAGAAATCAGTCTGAGCCCGTGATTTAAACACCTCTGATCTCTGAGTTTCTCTTTGTTCATAATGTTTTAGACTGTAATGATTGCACTCAGTGTTACTTACCCATCATTACTGAATCCAATTAAGTCCCACAGGTCAAACTCCTGCAGTGTCTTCTCTGAGGACAACAACACAAACACTAAAGCTGACCACTGAGACGAGGAGAGTTTCGCAGCACGTAATCCTCCATATGCATGAGGTTGAGCTTCGTTGACTAGAGAAAGATCCCCCAGTTCATTCAGACAGTGAAACAGATTGATGTATTTCTCTGGAGAGGGATTCTCACTGATCTTCTCTTTAATATAGTCAACTGTTTCCTCATTGTTGTTAGAGCTGTTTGCTGTCTGTGTCTTTAGTTCTTGTAAGAGACTCTGATTAGACTCCACTGACAGACCCAGAAGGAAACGAAGGAAAAGGTCCAGATGCCCATTTCTACTGTGTAAAGCCTCATCCACAGCTCTCTGATGGAGATCAGATAGGGACACTTTGCCTCCATTAGTTGGTTTGGTAATCTGGTCAAACACATTGATGTTATTGTTGATAAAGGAGAGATGCACATATAGAGCTGCTAGATGTTCCTGAATGCTCAGATGAACAAAGCAGAAGACTTTCCCCAGACACAAGCCCAACTCCTCTCTGAAGATCTGAGTGCACAATCCTGAGTAAACTGATGCTTCTGCCACATCAATGCCACACTCGCTCAGGTCTTCCTCATAGAAGATCAGGTTGCCTTTCACAAGCTGCCGATACGCCAGTTCCCCCAGTTTGACGATCATGTCTTCATCTTTCACTTTCTTCTCATAGTCCTTCTCATGTTTGATGTTGGTCTGAATGAGCAGGAAGTGTGTGTACATTTGAGTGAGAGTCTTGGGAATCTCTCGTCTCTCTGCTTCACTGCACATCTCCTCTAGAACAGTGGCTGAGATCCAGCAGAACACTGGGATGTGGCACATAATAAAGAGGCTCCTTGAGGACTTCAGGTGTGAGATGATCCTGTGGGCCAGACTCTGATCACTGATCCTCTTCCTGAAGTATTCCTGCTTCTGTGTGTCACTGAAGCCTCGTACCTCTGTCACTCGATGGACACACTCAGAGGGGACGAGATCCGCTGCTGCTGGTCTGGAGGTGATCCAGATGAGAGACGAGGGAAGCAGATTCCCCACAATGAGGTTCGTCAGCAGCTCGTCCACTGAGGCTGATTCAGTCACATCACACAACCTCACATCGCTCTGAAAATCCAGAGACAGACGACACTCATCCAGACCATCAAAGATGAACAGCACTTTATACTCATCACTGGATATGGCCATTTCTCTGCTTTCAGGGAAGAAGCGATGAAGAAGATCTGAAAGACTGAGTGTTTTGTCCTTCATCAAGTTGAGCTCTCTGAAAGCCAGTGGAAATATGAGCTGGACGTCCTGATTCTCTTTCCCTTCAGCCCAGTCCAGGATGAGCTTCTGCACAGAGACTGTTTTTCCAATGCCAGCGACTCCCTTTGTCAGCACAGTTCTGATGGGTTTGTCTTGTCCAGGTAAAGGTCTAAAGATGTCACTGCATTTGATCGGTGTGTCCTCTGTTTCTGCTCTCCTGGACTGTGTCTCAATCTGTCTCACCTCATGCTCATTATTGATCTCTCCACTTCCACTCTCTGTGATGTAGAGCTCTGTGTAGATCTCATTCAGGAGTGTTGGCTTTCCCTGCTTTGATATTCCCTCACACACACACTCAAACTTCTGTCTCAGATTTGATCTCAGTGTGTTGAGGACTTCAGCAGCTTTAGAGTCATGGCTGGAAGTTTACAATAACACATTATTACACAAGTCAGAGGAGTAAATGACCATAAATTACAACGCCAGTCCTGCATTTTACCTGAAACCAGGACACATGCGTTCATGAAAGTCTTGTGGTTGAATCACAGGCATGAACACAGTTTTGTTTTTAACTGGTCTGGATGGAAGATTTGACCTTAAATCCGAATGAAGAGGGTAAAGAATCAGACACACTGATATTGATGTAATTGTGTCATTAACTGAGTAACACACCAACAGCTTTTACAGTGCGTGAATGTATTAACAATACAATACATAGAGCTTTACACAAGAGCACAATGATCATCATTAATAGACTCAAACTGACAAATCCAGATAATTAAACTGCTGTATATTAATAATCATTTCATTTTAAAAAATCAAATACTATAAGCACATCTTTTATATAAATGATATACCTGAGATCAGGCCGTGTGTCTCCACTCTTAAACTCTATTGGCGGCTCCATAGACCAGTCACTCTTCACAGACACACAGCTGGACTCTGGGTTTGAGCTCTTCTGCTGGACTGAACTGGTTTTCAAACTAAGTGAAATAAAATTAAAAAAAACATACAGACTTATAAATGTTATGCACTTTTACAGGAATCTTCTGTCTTAGGAAACACCAGGTAATAAACTGACTGACTGATGGATGCAGGTTCTAATTAAAAAATGTAATACAAGCAACACTTTTATAGAAATGATAGTGGAGAGCAGGGCACAACCTAACACTTTTTAACTTTCTCAGTTTGTGTAAATACACTTGGGGTTCGGGGTATTTATTTTCCCCCATTAATTTCACACATCTAGAACAATTATGTGGTTTTGTTTCATTAATAAAGTGTAAAGAATCAGCTCAAAGCTGTAGTCAATTTTAATTTCGGGGAAAGATATTCAACAGTAATTAATCTCTGATCAACAAATTATCTAATATATTAGTTTGAACCTAGTCCTTACACAAATAAATCTCCCAACGAGGGGCTTTACAGCGTACACATCTGCTTCAGATATATAGACAATTAAACACAAAGAATTATGATTAATTCGGAATATATATCCTACACAGACAGATGGCTGTTGATCTTTAAAATACCAAAGCAATTGATGCTGCTTCCTTTTAGTCAGCTCGTCCGCCGTGCTGATCAGCTAGAATTTATCAACTACTTGTGGTCTAATTTACTGACAATATTTTGTGCACTTACCAATATCAGCTTGTAGCGTTAGGATCTCATATTAAAGAGGCTTTGTTATGTGATCAACACAGACAGAGGCAAAAAATGTATAACTGAGATTTAATAAAAATGAACTACACTACAAATCAAACAAAGATATATCTGAAACAAAATGAAAATAAAACACTTAAGAAAGGAAAAATGGAAACACAAGGAAAACACAATTGCTAGCACAATTAGACCTTCCAGAGACAACCACAGGATACACACTTCAGTCCAAAATTTAGATGGAACAACTTACATTCAGACCTAGTAGGCCTAGTGTTGGTTAGGAGGGAGTGTGCGTCCGGGAAGTGGGAGGCGCGGACTTTTTTGATTCTTTCAAGTGTGGTCGATTCGTGGGTAATTAAAAAAACGTCCTAAAACAGTTCTATTATGCGTGAAGGTAGTCTCATCACCGGGAGGCTGGAAGATTGACGACCCAGATAGCAAACTGACATTGAATCAACGTGGAAACATGACTTCGAAACAACGTTGATCTGGCATTGTTTTGCTCATCGAATTAAGGTTGAACCAACGTCAGACGCGCCATTCTTCAAAACTAATGGAAAATCAACTTGAAATCAACATCGTTTCAACGTTAGGAAACTGTTACGTGCTCCGAGGATATGTGGTTCTTTTGTTGTTATTTTTGCTTTCACTTTCTCCGCTATCATCTCTCAGGACGGTGCCACTGGCTGTCCGTCATCATTGCGAAGGGAACCGGGATGGGCGTCCTTGTTATATACATAGACAGTAAAAGAAATGAGGTGTGTTCGACATCGCCTGCGGCTGGATGCAACCGATCGGCGAGAATAGCTGCGTGCAGGCGGGGAGGAGCTGCAAACGGAGATTTTGATAAACATGATAAACATGACACAATATAACATTGCGGCTACATGACAAGACTGTTTACTGTTATAGAAAACTGATTTGTGAGCTTTAGTGGAACTAAATGTGCGAGAATAAACCAAGGGGCAACCTCCCCGTCTCTCTCTTGAAGCCAACACGGAAGTGAATTAAACTGCAATTCATCGAGTGGCCGCATGTGTCATAGATTGGCCAGGTTCTTCCACCACAATCACCCAGCCAGAGTATTAACGAGAGACACCTGCACCTCATCAACAACGCTGCTTCATAAGCACACATCACGCACCTCTCATTCGCTAGTTGCACCACAACGGAAATGGAATTTCCGGTTTGTCTGTGGTAGGCTGGAACACTTTCGGTCACTGCTTCCGTCAATGGCACTCGCTTACTTAACCGACCGTTCAGCGTAGTGTAAAAGAAAAACACGAGTCTTTTCGGTATTAAAACAGGTGTTGTACCGAATTCCGACTCGCGGACAAATCGCACGCCCCTTCGCGTGCGCGCGCCTCTCATTAATACGCGCTGAAGCGAGTTTGAATGCCCTTCATTTGCCATATGCGTTTATCGATTGATTTTTTTCTCACAGCAAGCACCCAGATCCTGCATGAAAGCTTTGTCTACACTTACAAAAATTGACAGACAGTGAACTAGTGTGGATAAAAGATGCAAACAAACAAAAACGCATGGGAGATCGATTCCGACTATAAACTTCCACGGGTGAAGCAACCATATAAAGCTACCAGCTGTCAAAACATACTGTTAATTTCACATAATTTAATTGAACGTAACTTTTGGGTGTTAAACACGATGTGGTTCATAGTAAAATATTGTATTACTCTTCCCATTGCACATGAATGTCATTAAAAATAATAATAACCTTTTTCATGAAGATAGGCTTATAAACAAATTATTATGCATGCGTTTTTGTAATATTGCAGCAGGTTTTTTTTTTTTTTTTCAAAAAAGTGCACCTGAACGCAAAACAATGTATTTCCATAAGCAATCCCAGCTAGAATTTTTCTTAAAATTTTGTTCTGTTCTAATGTTTTCAGCGGGTAGTTTTTTCCCAAAAAGAACATTGTATAATCTGTTATCTCAGCAACATTCCCAAAACATCCTCAAAATATTACAGTTAAAACATCCTTAAAATATTATTTCAACATTACATTTAAATGTTTTCTTATAACAGTACCTTATGGCTTTACAAGTTTAAACCAAACTTGTAGGGAATGTTAGCCAAAGTTCTGAGAACGTTCTCAGCTAGGATGCAAACTGTGAAATTGAAAGAATTAATTAAATAATGTTTTTGTGGTCCTAATGTGCCAGAAAATAACGATATTAAAAAGTCTAAGGTTTATTTACATCCTTAGCTTTATTTATCCTTAGCTTTAGTCAATGATCACATTATTATAATTATCAATTATAATTTGTTTTATTTCTATTTTTAAGATGCAATTAAGCAAAAACAAAACAAACATAAAAACTGGTATTTGCCTCATATAGGCTATAGTCTATATTATATACAATATACAGACATGTGTTTTATGAACTAAGCCTATATCTTCATGGAAAAGGTTAAATATTATTTTTAATGACATTCATGCGCAATGGGGAGAGTAATACACTATTTTCCTATGAACCACATCGTGTTTTACACACAAGTTACGTTCTGTTAAATTATGTTAAATTAACAGTAATGTTTTGTTTTGACAGGTGGTAACTGTATTATGGCTGCTTTATTATGGCTTGCCTTTACCCGTCCTAGTTTATAGTTTGAATCGATCTCCCATGCGTTTTTGTTTGTTTGCATCTTTTATCCACACTAGTTCACTGTCTGTCAATTTTTGTAAGTGTAGACAAAGCTTTCATGCAGGATCTGGGTGCTTGCTGTGAGAAAAAAATCAATCGATAAACGCATATGGCAAATGAAGTGCATTCAAACTCGCTTCAGCGCGTATTAATCGAGAGGCGCGCACGCGAAGGGGCGTGCGATTTGTCCGCGAGTCGGAATTCGGTACAACACCTGTTTTAATACCGAAAAGACTCGTGTTTTTCTTTTACACTACGCTGAACGGTCGGTTAAGTAGCGAGTGCCATTGACGGGAGCAGTGACCGGAAGTGTTCCAGCCTACCACAGACAAACCGGAAATTCCATTTCCGTTGTGGTGCAACTAGTCCATTGTCCGGGCTCGTTAATACGAAGCGGACTCATAGTGCTTCTCTCTGCGAGTTTCACTACCAAAACTAACCTGTTTCCTTACCAGTATTCTGAGCCAATTCCAGTCTGTCCAGAACTACGCTTCAGAGGTGTGCGTGTGTGTGCCATCCGTCTGTCAGTCTCACACAACGGTGTGTATCTGTTCTGGGAATCTCCGCCTGCCGGGTCCACGAAAGAAATATATCTCTTATCCATTCACGGACTGTTCTCAAGTATTGCTCTGATCTGAACTCTGCCATTTTTATCCATTGCTGCCCATTGAGTGTTCCTGACACTCTGTTGTTTAATTAAAGACGATTCTCTATTACTTACCTTGTTGTCCGTCTGCTTCCGTAACAGTTAGCCCGGACCGAAGAACAGTAACAGCATGAGTGTTTCAGATCCCTTTCAAGAGCTGGTGGATTCATTGAAGAGGGTATTGACATCTTCTCCTGTCACCGCACCTCCCGCTCCACCAGCATCAACAATACCGAGCACTTCTTCGGACACTGCATCTTCCAGTCCCATGGCCCGACCAGCGCCCTACTCAGGCGGGGCGAAGGAGTGCAATGGATTTTTGCTTCAATGCTCTCTCATATTTACCATACAACCTTCTTTATATCCTACAGATCAGTCTAAAATAGCTTTCATCACGTCTTTACTTACCGGTCCAGCTCTTCAATGGGCTGAAGCTATCTGGATGCAGGCTGGCCCAGCTGTTAGTTCTATTCAATCCTTCATTTCCCACTTCAAGGAGGTATTCAGCCGATCTGATGGAGAGATATCAGCTGGTGAGCAACTTTATCATGTATCTCAAGGGAATATGTCTACCCAGGAGTATGCTCTGCGCTTTCGCTCTTTAGCTGCAGCCAGTGGATGGAACGAGCGATCCTTACTGATCACCTACCAGCTTGGTCTCAACCCCCAACTTCGTTTACAGCTAGCCGCGTTGGATGATAGTATGGGGCTCGAAAGGTTCATTCAACACTCCATAAGATGTTCAGACCGTATACAATCTTATCAGCTTCATTCTAGTACTACTACTACTCTCCTTCACCCATCCGAAACCACTAATCCTTCAGAGCCAGAACCCATGATCATAGATTCTGGCAAACTCACCGCTGCTGAACGACAGAGGAGGCTGACCCGGGGTCTATGCATGTATTGTGGAGCCAGTGGGCATGTTCGGTTGTCCAATTCGTCCCATACGAACCTCGGTGAGTGTATCCTGCTTTGAAGAAGAGAAAATGCACCCGCTCACTACTT